CAACCTCTGACTATGTTTGCTGATGATAGTACCATAACGATCCCTTGTAAAAGTGTGACAACGTATGAAATTGACATTAATAATTCTCTTGACTGTATAATAAGATGGCTAGACAAAAATAATTTAATTATAAATTTAAGCAAGACAAAGATAATGCACTTTAGACAACGTACGCCCGATGTACATAATCTTCATATACAGTACAAGGATAACATCATAAACAAGGCCAGTGATACGAAATTTTTAGGTCTACAAATAGATAACCGCTTAAACTGGAAAGCGCATATAGAGATTCTGTGCAAAAAATTGAATACATCGGCATATGCTTTACATAGACTATCCTCCATAGTAAACAATAAAGCACTTCTTACTGCTTATTACGGTATAGTGGAATCGCGCTTACGCTACGGCGTTATATTCTGGGGAAACTCGACTGATAAAGATGCAGCATTTAAGGCTCAAAAAAGATGCCTCCGATCAATGTTCAAACTTAAAACTACTGACAGTTGCAAACCATATTTCAAACAGTATAATGTTTTGACATTACCCTGTATTTATATTTTAGAAGTAGCTATATTTGTTAAGCGGAACCCGAGTCGTTTTGAACGTCTGGCTGATGTGATTCAAAGAAACAGGCGCGACAACAGCAAGTTACGTCACCAAAGTTGTCAAACCACGTTAATGCGTAAAAGTGTCTATTGTATGGCACCACTAATCTTTAATAAACTGCCGGGCGGGTGGAAAGAGTTGGAAACAGTTGTATTTAAGAGTAAGCTACGTAAATTTCTAGTAGATAAAACTTACTACAGTGTAACAGAATTTTTATCGGAAAAAATCTTTACTTAAGTGCCATGATTATGGATATATTATCTGGAGGTCTAGTGTGGAGTTTGCAGTGTATGTTTTACTATTGTATCCATTAAACTTATAAAGTACATTAAGTCACAAGTAAAAAAGCTCCTCATTAAAAAAATGTTATTATAATGTATTGGACTTTATCTCTAACAATTTGTAGTGTCTTTCATTCATTTATTTTTTGTAATTATTTGTTTTTCTTCCTGACATTAATTTATTATTTTGACTATAGTTTGACTTTGAATGTTGACATTGCATGTATCACAATATAATTATAGTAATCAATGATGCTAATAATATACCTATAGGTTATTTTATGTTTAAATTATATGCAATTATAAATGTACAAATTGAAAATTTGCACACCCATAGTGGTAAAGCACAGTGAACCTTTTGTGAATGAATACCATGTAATTAATACCTGTGTTATGCAAATAAAAAATCTGAATCTGAATCTGAATCTGAATCTGATGTGTCGGAAAAGAGTCATGTTACACATTTTTCGGTCTCGCTCCCATCCGCTCAGAGCGTGTAAATAACTAAGGTGCTACCCACGTGCTAATAAATATGTTTCCTGCCGTAGATTGTATCCAAATTCTAACTCGAAGACAACAAATTAATGTTATTTTATACAACAAAAAACAAATCAGTTGATCCTACGTCATTGCATACACGCCTACGTTGGCGAGACTCTACGTGTTTAAACTGAGATGTGTTAAATATTGCCGACGTAAGCGATTGTTCGAATCAAATAAATTACAATCATATGACATTGTTTTCTTTCGGTGACTATTATTTGGAGAAACTAATCCCATGGCTTCATATTCTTGTTATACATTATTATGTATGCTATATATTATGTGGCTCTGAGCGGATGGGAGCGAGACCGAAAAATGTGTAACAAGACTTTTTCCGACACTTCTGGCATAACTTCGTTCTGACCGGGGGTACATAAACTCCTCGCACCGCCGTTTTATTATATGAAAAAGGAAAACAATTAATTTACGGCCTTATTACAATAAGTGGTGTTCCGTGCTCGTTGTCTTGCTTCGTTTAAAACTAACTTATCATGACAGCTGTGTAACATACTTGTATTTGCTTAGTGGCCTATTTACAGTTTTTGAAGTAAAACTTATTTACGCACGCTTGGGGAGTAAGCTGGTGAATGCGTGACGAGAGCGATACGAAAAGTGTGATCGGGCGAGGCGGACGGAAGTTGAGATCGAGATATAAGTGAAAATAGAAAGAGCAGGAGTTACGTTTCGTATATTACTGTAGGGGCAAGAGAGAGAGAGAAAGCACACTCGTTTTTTTAGTTTAGTAAGGAATATAATTCACTACACATAGCGCTTACTATAAAGTATTTCTTACTATTTATTTTTTGATCATAACAATACCTCCAATTTGTAAATCAGCTGTCAAATGTTTTTTTAAATCAGTGCCGGGGGAAGGCAAATGATGGAAATTATAGTTGCTCTCCTTTTTTCGAAATAGAAAAGTAAAACAAAATAATGAATCTTTGTCAAAGCAAGCGCCTTTTCAATAGGTACATTAATCGGTTTTCTAATACAGTTCATGTAGGCTCTTGAGGATGTTGATCAGTCTATGTAGGATTTTCTCACACGTCACAAAAAACCTCATTAAGTGATGATACGTACTCCAATACACAGTATACCTTCCTGCTCTATCCATGATATTCTGCTTCAAACAACCTTCAATGTTATTTACAACCTTTGTTAGGTTCATAATGAAATGGTGTGGTTTTATATATAGGTACTTCATTTATATGTGTTACATCATATATATTTTAGAATAATGTTGGAAATTATGTATTTTGCACGCAGTACCTAACCCATCCATAATACCTACTGTTGATTATAGGTAGTCTGACGAAAGAAATATAAAACTTTCGTCTGTGTGGACACGTTTTGCCTGTTTTTCTTTCATTTTTGTATGTCATAAAATATTATAGAAAAACAAAATTATTAATATTCTTTCTTAGTCGGTTTTTTTATAAAAAAAAAATCAGCACATTTTTTTGTCACCACTTCGCGTCACAAGTTGAAGAAAAAACTATTTGATTATAAAAAAAGAAATTGGGACAACATGCTAAAAGTTCATATTTATTTAATCATAGAAAAATCAAACGGACAATGAGATGTCTTTCCTATTAGCATTTGACAATAGGGATTGGAGGAATTTCATAATTAATAAAATAATGTCAAATTTTATATTGATAGTAAATAAAAAAAAGGAATGAAAAATAAAAAAAAACCTTTATTTGAACAAGCTACATTTCATCTTACTAGAATTAATTACTTACTAATTGCTAGGTGTACATACTTAAATTTCTCTTACTATTAATACTAAATACCAATACTAAATTACTTATTTCTGGTTTTATAATTAATATGCATTAAACTAGGTCCCCAGGTTGTTTAAAGGCCTCCTCCAAAGATGCCCACTTCTCTCTATGATGTGCTTTTTGCCGCCAGTTTGAGCTAGCGACTTTTGTGATCTCATCGTCCCATCGGGTAGAGGGTTTGCCTCTCCTTCTTTTTCTCTGAGGTCCTCTCTATATAGTGGTATTGTAGGTCCATCTTTTGTCTCTAAGCATCGCTATGTGACCGGCTCACCTCCATTTCAAAATGGAAGTGGGCCGGTCACATAGCGAGCGTAGGTCAGAGCGTCAGTGGCTTTTGGTGTTGCTCTTATTTTTGTTCTATCTCTAATTCGTTGTTTACGTTTTTGAAGATAATTGTTTTTCCTAAGTAAATATATTTGTCTGTACATTCCAGTGGATTTCCATTAACTTTACTTGTTTGTTGTAACTGTTGTAATCTCACCAAGTCATTGTCATGTTCTTGGTGAGATTGATTTCAAGTTTGTAGATCTTCAATCTTTTTCAATTTATATTGATAATTATTAAGTATTTCAAGAAAAATCGAAGTATAAAATTCAGTCAGACAGAAAAAAATACTTTAAGGCAAGCGAAGACACCAGTAAATTTTAATACGAAATAACTGCATATTTAATTTTAGTCTGCTAAAATGTCACTATATTCTATTCTTTGTTTTTACAATTACGTTAAAATGACCTTTCATTTTAAAGCATCGGAATACTACGCGCATAACTAAGTTGTACCAAGATATAATTATCGATGGTATGCACGCCTTTACTTCGATACCACACGGATGACGAAACTTGAGACCTGCCTCGCCTTGAGCTTTAGAACTAGCTGACGAAATGAATCTGTTTCATTACACAAAGTGTGCACTGTTAGCATACAAACTTTTTTTAGGGCATTTACTTTGAAAAACAAAGATAAGGACAAATAAAGATGATCTTTGCTAATGCATAATGGAAAAAAAAAACGAGTTGTCAAAATTGTGAGAACTCAAAATTGGCAGACTATCTTTGGCAATGGAAAATTTCCTATTGCTGTTTTATGTAGCAATGAACTTGAGTGAATTTTAGGCCACGCGGCACGCCACGATGCGAATTCGACTCGGTTTGTTCAAGTTCAATAAGATTCTTCCTGATATTCTGATGCAATAACGATTTTCTGTTACATTAATATCAAAAAGCTGACATGTGATTATGTGTAAACAATTAGTATTACTGTTACACGTGTACTATTCTATAATCAGTAACCAAAATATTTTTCGTATAGGTACATTGCAATCAGCACTTAGTAATAAATACAAACACTTAAACTAAGATTAGTAGGTATTGCTATGCTCGACATTTGACATTCAACTTAATAATAAATATTTCGTAAAATTAATGTTACAAAACAAAAAGATAAAGATGAAAAACAAGTTGTTCCAATAACGAACAGGCTTAGATTGACGCTGCGTACGCACACGTCACGCGACACACCCGCGGCGCCGACCAATCAGCGAGCGCTAAGCGCACACTCCTTCCATATATAAAACGCGCCAGCGCAAATACTAATCCACTACGTTCTCAGAGTTACTTGCACGCGTAATTAAATGGGTTACAATTACAAACTTAATATAATAGCATATTATAGGTGGTTGATATTCCTCTTCAGTTTTAGTAATTTTACTCAAACTTAGTTTGAAGTATTTTTTTAATTTTATTCAAAAGTATTAATTAGTTTAATTTATTCAAAAATCAAAATGTTGCACTTGAACACCGTCCCCGAAGATTACGTGAAGAAGACCTCTCAGTGAGTATAGTTTTTATAAACATTTTTTCCTAAACGGTAACTTCATAATACAGTAATGTTTTGTTTTACCTATACATATAAGCATACGGTATCATTCTACATACTAGCAATGCCTGTTACGAAACAGGTTTGCGAACCTTACAATTCATACAATTATATACATCCCAACACGAAAGAGGCCTTCAAATCTTGCAACTTTCAGTTCAACGTATCCATAATTGAGCTCCGCTCAAAGAAAACCCAACCATATTTCATTTGTCTCTATTGCTAATTTTGATTGATCTAGATTCAAAGACAACCTTTCATCTTTTACGCCACGTGAGATGCGTTGTCTGATTGTCTAGCGTGGTGTCGGAGACAGTCGGCGACGGTTAAGTTTAGAAACATTTAGTAAAACTATACTAATTCACGGACCAAAGACAAAGTTTTTTTTGTTCCACATTATTCTGTTCTGTACATCTGATTATTAATTATTATATTTGCACTACTCTAAACGTGGAACATCTTTCCATTGCCTTTACCCAGTATCAAAGTATCTCATAAATTCTTGTTGGAAGACGATTAAAAGAAATCTAGTTACTTACGTAGAAGAAATATGTTAAAAGTTACTTAAATAATACAGTACACAATACAAAGGCACTACCCAATAAACTGATTGACATATTATTGACGTAAGTGGGAAACTTCCATTAAACAGTTGAACTAGGAAGACAATACGTATACATCACTATCTTTAGCATCAGTGTTGGTATGTAGGGTTCACTGGAGTTACTATAAACAAACCTTTTTCTAAATCCACATACACAAAAAATACCTAAAAAACCGGACCGGGAATCTGATTAATTTGTCCCATATCCTTCAAAATTGGCGGGTAATAGAGGAATAGTTTGATAGACGGCGCTTTGAGAGATAACATGTTAAATGAACTAGTATTTAACTATCTGGGTCTGTATCGTAATACTTTGAATCTAAGTTCGAAGTTTAGTTACTGATAGATAAAACAGACCACGATATATTTAACATTGATTCACTATCAGGGCATGTTGCTAATACAAACCTGACTGAGGAAACATTTGATAATATTATTAAAATTGGAAACAATAGTGCAATGGGTTTTACTTACATGAAATGCGAATACTCGTATATCACTATGATTCTCGTTAGGATTAATGAATTTGTTAAGAATGTAAGTGCGTACAAGTATGCCTGGTAATTCGGTATCTACCGGAAAGTCACATATTTGCAAAGATAATAAAAGGAAAATGTTAGTTATTTATAAAAATGAGAATAAGTCATTTGATATAATTATGTAAAATTTATTTCAAATTCATAAATAGATTAATAACCGTGAAAACCCTAATAAAAAGTATTTTGTTCAAATGCTTTACATTCCAAAAAGTTCGGCTTGCGGCTATGTAGAAATCTGCAAAACCATCTCTTTTGTCTGTGTGAATTGAGACATTAATAAATATAACTATATTTCTGTTTATCTACAGATATGCCCAGGTGGCATTGGCGTGCGGGCGCGCCGCCCACCAGACCGCATTGCGAGGGGCAACTACCCCTAACCCTCAACTTGCTGCTTTAACTCCTAAGGTAAATATCACTATCAAATAATAAAATACACCTAGTCTATAGTCCTACACACCCCATAAGGCTATCATGATAACATCTCTTTCTTGTGTAGGTGCGTTCGTTCGTAGAACGTAGTGCCGCACTCTGCCAACCTGACCATGTCCATGTGTGCGATGGCTCTGAGGCTGAGGCAGCTGCGTTGTTGCACATCATGCAACAGCAAGGTACCCTGAAAAGGTTGCCGAAATATGACAACTGGTAAGTTTATACATGTCTCCTTCAATCAAATACCAAAAAAAGCTTTCCAGTTTTTAATATCTTCTTAGTCGTACAGAGGAAAATTACGCAGAACTAAGACTCGAAATTTACATATTTTCCTTTATTGTAATTCAATGAGCTGCTCTGGATATTACACACCCTATTAGCACGAATAGGGTTTTTATAGATAGTAGCTAAATTTGCATAAATGGTTCACTATATTGACGTCACGTATGTTAAACATGTATGACATTCAATTGACATGATTAAAAGGCCATCTCTTGGTTACAGAGTCGTTGGTCTATATTATAATGGTGGTGTTTAAAACACTAAACGTAAAAAGAAAAAAATACTCTAAGAATCTAAGCGATCGATTTATTCCAGTTGGCTAGCTCGCACGGACCCAGCGGACGTTGCCCGCGTGGAATCCAAAACCTTTATCTGCTCGGAACATGAAAGAGATGTGGTACCAGTCGCTCGCAAAGGCCAGAAGTCGGCTTTGGGGAACTACATAGCTCCTAATGACTACGACAAGGCTGTCTCTGATAGATTCCCAGGGTGTATGAGAGGTAAGCATTCTATAATATCAGAATTCATAATGTTCTTTGGAATTATTAATCTATTAAACATTATCTCTCTATACGAGAAGCACGTGCATATGTAAGTACTAATTTACTTATAACGTACTCAACAGAGAATACGTTGTAAGTAAAGTAAGAGTAAATGATCATTAATTACACTTCCCATGCGTACGCAAATTGAATTGACTGATTGATTTTTAAATAACTTTTAAACACGTGTACGAATGCGTCCGTTTAAAATTGCCTTGATAGGTTTTTCATGACGCTGGTAATAAAAAACAACCGTGAGTTTATTAACCGTTGCAAAAATTACATAACAGTTGGATGCAGTAGGTACGTGAAAAGGTTTACCATAATTCGTTTTTATTACTTAAAAAAATAGAACTGCCAACATTTACATATGAAGATTTTTTTTACGATAATACAATTTTGACAATGAATTCGAGAAGGTTTCAAGAAGATTTTTTTTGTATAACCTACGTCTTTTTTAATAACTATTTTATTAACTGACTTATGATGAAATCATAACAACAAATAAACATATATGTGTTAGCATTCAAAATATTACTAGTTAGAATTGCTTTAAAACAGGCAAAGTACTGAAATGAGATGTATTCTAATACAATAGTCTATTGAGTATAGAAACATTTGAATTCTCAATAAGAAAACACTGGTTCGTAAAATGGCAATCAGTTTACGGGTGCAATGCCACGACGGTCAAGGCGAAGTCACAATAGAAACGTGGCGGTTCCCACAAACATGTGAGCTCGAATTTCTTAGAAACCGGTTAAAAACTTAAAACAATAGCGACGAATACAAACGATGTATTGTACTTATGTTGCAAACACACATGTAACAGGTGACACAACATACTATATTGTTTCTTATAACAATGTTGATACGATGTAAAAATATTTTGAATTAGTATTAGTCTTTATTTCCTATTAGCTCACCTTATTTTTAATTTATGAGGAAAAGCACATCCGCTGAATAATTTTCTTTACATTTCGCACTTCCACTTTTATCGGATTAGCCAGGTTTTCCCACTGACTGATTAATTCTTTTAATTATACGCATATGTTGCAAATATTTAATACTCATTTATATACGTCAATCAATGAGATAAAATAGCATTTAACAATTTGTTAATGGTAAGGCAATTTAATTTAAAATACGGAGGATGTGTCTCAAACAATAATAGTATATATGTGCCTACTGAATTCCCCCAGATTACTTCAACGGCTACAATTAGGCAGAGAATATTATTGTTATATTTGAGTGAGAGTGTTGTATAGTGTATTTATTACAAGTGTTATATAATACACAAACATTACAAATGATACTGAACAAGTCTATGTTACGATTAGCAATTAAAAACGGTTATTCAGTTTTTATATAATATAGTTGTTTATTTAATATAGTACAGTTGTGTACTCTATTAAACCCCTGTATAGTTGGTAGAGCACAATTTGTTGTTGATTTTGCATGTTGGATTTATTATATTTAATTAATTATTAATTAATTTAATATATTAAATTGAAAATAATGAGAGAAATAGTATTAATAATAATTAAATTAAAAAATTAAATAAGCATTTAATTTAACTAGAAATGTTATCTCGATCTAGCTTTCGATGTATGTAGATGCCACAATAACGGTTATTGGACCAAACCCCAGTCAATGGATCGGTAATACAGACACAGACAGCTGGTTTTTAAATAATTTTATTTTTAATTTTAGTTTGTTGCATATCTGATTAAACATATATCATAGAGGAGAACTTATAAAATAAAAATAAATTATAGTAGTAATTAAATATACGGATTCATTTCAATATGATCTCAGCTTAAACTGACTTAGTTATTCGACATGATTACTACATCCAACTTTTACCGACAGTGTTGCAATAAATACGTAGGTATATAAACATACCAAGTAAATAAATTACGTGCACGTAATTTTGGCAAGTAACATCAAAATGTAGTGCATTTAGCTAAAATTTAAAATGCTCTAATACTTGCCGGATCTTTTTAATCTTTCAAAAAATCTTTCTTTTTATTCTTTGGCTGTATTTTATATTAAGCACTAAGATAATCAGTTTTGTACAGAAGAACGATACCTAACACTTTTAAAATAAGTTATAGTTACACTTTTTTTTAAATAGTTCTTTAAAAAAGTGTTACTCAGTTAAGTTAAAACTAATATATGTTGTAGTAGATATAAATTTCTGTTTATATCACTGGGTCATAGTCACGGCCAGGGATCAGACTCAATTATTATTTCGCTTTAAGTTATTGTTTGAGAGGTTCCCTCCAGATAGGTCATTTCAATGCTTGCCGAGGACAGAGATAGAGTATAAATAATTTGTTAAATTGCGGACTAAAATGTGCTAAGTCCTGAAATAGTTACCAATAACTTTAAAAATAAAATGAAAATAAAACAGTGACCATATAAAATAAATAACTTGAATGAACGATATACAAAGAAATAAAATAATTAATTAATTAACTAACTAAAATGTGCTAAGTCCTGAAATAGTTACCAATAACTTTAAAAATAAAATGAAAATAAAACAGTGACCATATAAAATAAATAACTTGAATGAACGATATACAAAGAAATAAAATAATTCAAAGTATAGTGTTGTGGCTAGTGACATTAATGAACATGTCTTTATAGTGACGTAATCAGCTAAACCTGTTAATTGACATTCAAGACGTCGCTACTCAGTTAAGATTACCGTTAGTATTTAACCTTCAGACAAAGGTATTATGCGTATTGCACCATATGAGAATGAGGAAACTGAGTGATAATGTATAAATATTGTTGTCATCAGGACGTACGATGTATGTGATTCCGTTCTCCATGGGGCCTGTTGGCTCCCCGCTATCGAAGATCGGTGTGGAAGTTACTGACTCGCCCTACGTCGTCTACTCTATGCGAGTCATGACCAGAATGGGTAAGTTGTAGTAAAATAATATGAAACTCGTAATTTTTCAGGCCCAACACGGGTTAGTTACTTGAAAATTCCTTGATAAAATTACCTTCTTTGTCATGAAAAATTATGAAAATGTTAACAAAGGATTAATCTTTTTTGACTTGTATAAATTAAAAGAGCTCTATCCATCGCTAGTATAGAATCATTGACTAAATCTTATAAAAAGTAGTTTATGTTACAAAAACTTATTCGGCACTCGGATGAACGAAAAAATGGCGTCCAAGGATTCTATTTTATTAATATGAATCACGTTTAAAAGTAAACGCAACTATCAGTATAGTCGTAATATTAAGTGCTACCTACAATTAAGAATGTTACTCGCAACGAAATATTTCAACCGTTTTCTTATCATACCTACTTACTTTAAGCAGTTTATAGACACAAAGAAAACAATTTTCCAGTCCAGACAATCATGTAGAATAGACATAATGGAAGCAATTTAATGTAGGTAATGGAATAATAGTATAAACATTTACGTGCACTAACACTGCGGTCTACAATTTTTCACGAATTAAGAATTAATTAGAAAAACAATAAAATACAAGGTAAACGTTTTATTTACGAAATGAAGTCACACCCTCGGTTGCATCATTGATAACCTAATTATTCTTACACGTGTGATGATAGCGTAGTTTCAATGTACCTATTAGTCAATAATAGATTTGTAAATACTAACAAACAAGATATTTATAATAAATCATTAAATAGAACACAAACGGAATGGTTGTAGAGTCTTAGTATTCACAGCGCTAAAGTAGGTAAAACTTTGTGGAAACAAAGATTTCATAAATCAAAAGTTCATCAAGCGTTTTCGCCTCCCTATTCCTAATCTTCTCGAAAACTGTAAAATATAAGAAGGTTACAAAACAATCAAGTTGGGCAAAAGATATTTTTTTTTTAAACAAATCAATAATTTGTATAAACAAAACGTGCCAGGTTACTCTGTTTTGAAATAGAAATGAAATAAAATGTAAATGCCTACCTTGAACAGATTTCTTTGTTTTCTGACGAGGAACAATTGTTTTTATAACATGCCTAACAATTTACCGTGACCTCGTTTACGTAAAGTGTATTAAAACATCGTGTATATATTTCGAGTGACTTTCTAAAATCAAATTAAATACCTATAACTCGAAGGTTTAAACTTGCAATCTGGTATCGTGAGCTATTTTTGTAATTATAAACTTCACTCAAACATGTAACTATTTTTTTTCCGTTTAATTCTCATTATGCAGCATACTGTTAAACTTAATGAAAAACATTGTGACGTTGTAAAAATCGACACCTACTTTGAAGTGTACGTTTCTTTACATAAGAACTTATAAAGATATCCGCAATATACGCTAGCTATTTTTTTTATCATTTCCTTTACTCTTCTAGGTGCTAAGGTCTTAGATGCTCTTCGCCAAGACGAGAAATTTGTTCGTTGCCTGCACGCTGTAGGCACCGGAGGCGGTACCCCGGGCTGGCCCTGCGACCCCTCCCGTACTATTATCTTGCACAGGCCTGCTGATAATGAGATCGTTAGTTATGGTGAGTTTGGATTTATTGAATATGGGAAAAAGTTAGGATACCTGTAACACCAAGCATCATCCACGTGTTGCCTACTACAACAAAAGTCAAATAAATTTACATAGATATATTTATTTATGAAATTTTTTTTGGGTGGGTATCTAAGTTACAGTATTCTTTTTTTATTTACATTATAGGACCGAAAAACTTATTATATTTTAAACTCGCCAAACGTAATGCTTTATCGGTGAGAGTCGCTCTTACAAATTATGAAAAAAAACAGCTCGTGTATTACATTTAAATAAAAATAAACATATCACTAATAAACAAACAGAAAAGTAGATAAGGGCTTATTGTTATTCAACTACAGTCAAGCATTGAGTTCTTAAGTTTTTTCTTTAATATACGAGTGATTTTACTGGTATGGTTCTGTCTTAATCTTAATAAGTCTATATTATTAAACACTTTAGGTACTATAATCTTTGTTGTTGTTTATTTGTTATAGGAAGTGGATATGGAGGTAACAGCTTGTTGGGTAAGAAGTGCTTTGCCCTTCGATTGGGATCGGTCATCGCGAGGCGGGAAGGCTGGCTTGCAGAGCACATGTTGGTAAGTACATAGCACCCGAAGCCCTGTATTCAAATATAAGAGTTATTTTATTAATAGAGGAAGTTCAAAATTACATATTTTTTGTCACTTTTATAACATAATAAGCCTACCGTGATAATAAAAAAAAAGAGTTAAAATAAAAAAATGACGTCAAAATACGATAAATAAATTACTATTTAATTGAAATTTTAAAAATCAGTATGTAGTTCACTACCGATGGCATTGGCTAGCTTAAAATTAACTTACGTGTTTCTTCTTTACAGATTGTTGGAGTTACAGACCCGAAAGGCCGTAAACGGTACATCGCAGCTGCTTTTCCATCCGCATGTGGCAAAACCAATTTGGCTATGATGACCCCGACGCTGCCAGGATATAAAGTCGAGTGCGTGGGTGATGATATCGCCTGGATGAAGTTCGATAAGAATGGCGTATTGAGGGCCATCAATCCGGAGAATGGGTTCTTCGGAGTTGCTCCAGGTAAGACAGGCTTTAAATGTAATTCTTTGAGATAAAAACCATTTAAATTTTTATGACCGCGAAATAAATGTTACCGTACATAATTTGATAAAATATCATAGCTCTACAATTTTTCGACCATATAATTAATTTCTAATGCATCTTGTACTAGGTTTTAGATAACTCTATCATAGACACTGGTTTATCTTGTTTCATCCAGTTAGTTTGTTATGTTCGTGAGTCTAATAATTTTTTTATTATTTTTCAAGGCACATCAGTAGCTACAAACCCAATCGCGATGGCAACCGTTTTCAAGAACACGGTATTCACAAATGTGGCGGAGACTAGTGACGGTGGTGTTTGGTGGGAAGGCATGGGAACTCCTTCAGAGAATCTGATTGACTGGAAGGGCCAGCCGTGGAATGCCAGCAAAAAGACCCCTGCTGCACACCCTAATTCTAGGTAAGCTGAATCACGTTGAATGGTACTCGTTTCAAGCTATAAAAATATATTTACGCGATTGTTTTAGGGTTACCAATGCAAAAATAAAACTTAACCGAATTTTCAGTATTTTTTAAAATTATCGGCTCTATAACACGTCATTCTAATTTTAGTCATCACCGTATAGTATAGTACCCTAAATAATAAAACATCAAAATGGTAGTCAAGTATTTTAACTAAAACTTTTATTTTAAACAGGTTCTGCACACCCGCTGAGCAATGCCCAATAATCGACGGTGACTGGGAGAGTGCTGAAGGTGTTCCTATTTCTGCTATCTTGCTCGGAGGCAGGCGCCCAGCTGGGGTACCTTTAGTTGTCGAAGCTAGAGACTGGCAACATGGTGTATTCATGGGAGCATCGATGCGATCTGAGGCTACTGCTGCTGCTGAACATGCTGTGAGTAGACTGATCTGCCATTGGATGTGAATACATCCATTTTTCTCAGAGTAGTACATATTATAGTCCATATTTTAACGTTAATCTAGATTTAATAGTCTTTTATACCTTGGAGAAGTCCTATTTCTGGGTGAAGCCATTTGTATAGATCCTTTTTAATAACTACCTGTGGGTTTAATATCATTATATACGAAATTCAAAGCTCAACAAGGAAACATTCCTTTATATAACATTGGTTGGGATGCTCACTTTCTTTAATAGATCGTTGTCATTTCCAGAACAAAACGGTAATGCATGATCCGTTCGCCATGCGTCCATTCTTCGGCTACAACTTCGGCGAGTACCTGCAGCACTGGCTGTCCATGCCCCAGGCTGGTCGCAAGATGCCCAAGATCTTCCACGTCAACTGGTTCCGTAAGAGTGCTGAGGTAATTGACTCCAACTTTTTTATTACTATTAAACAATTCATTCATCAACAGCCTTTAATAGTCCTCTGCTGGACACGGGCCTCTCCTTAGAAAAGTGCAAATCTTTGAAAGAAATAAGTAGCGCTTATGAAATGTTCTATAATAATATTTTTTCAACAGGGCAAATTCCTTTGGCCCGGTTTCGGCGAAAATGCACGAGTGCTTGACTGGATTCTCCGTCGTTGTGACAACGAACAATGCCACATCGAAACTCCTCTTGGGTACGTCCCAGCTGAGGGCGATCTCAACGTAGAGAATCTTGGACCTATCGACTTAAAGACTCTCTTCAGTATACCTAAGGACTTCTGGCTTCAGGAAGCTGATGCCATCGAAAAGTACTTCAAGGAAGAAATCGGCGCGGATTTGCCTAAAGAAATGATTGACGAATTGAACAAACTCAGGAAGAATGTTCAAAATTCTTAATACCAAAGCTAGTTTTAAGTGATCGTTTATGAGACTTGGAATGTATGAAGTATTGTCGTATTTTTTCCTTTGATAATGTTAGGAAACATTCCGTAAGATTATGTATTTCATTTTTTGTAACGTTGATCGTACAATTTTGAGATTTTTAATTGTGAAGGATCTGTAGGATGGCTTCTAAAAGTGTAGAAATGAGGAACAAGAGAAGGCTGTGTTATTTAAGTAAAATAATGATATTAATGAATATGTATTAAGAAGGAAATTATAACTTTGCTAATATTTAAATAACTATTTTTATATGTAAGTTCATTTTAAAATAAAATGTATTATTGAATCAGTAAATTTGCATTTTAATTTCAAATTAAAAATTGATTATAACACAAATATTTCCGCTTGTTGTGACCATGAGTGGAGCTTTTTATTTCATATGTTTTGCTGAAAATACTCGAACACCATCTTGAGTTGACGCTCTCGCATATTTTGTTAAAAGAGCATTTACGTTTAACTTTTCTGTCGCGTAACACCTGGAAGGAGGATTATTATATTTAAAAGCTTAACTATGTAGTTCGAATAGCAAACTATGACCTTTAGAAACAATATAACAGCCATGTTTCTCTCTTTAAAAGTCCTTGAGTTAAAAATACTCACTCTATGTAAGGTGATATGTCATCTACAGTCCATTTCGCTTTGGTTTGAAATAGAACTTTGAAACGTTCATTGATTTCTTCTGGTAAATCACTCTCGGCAAAACCCCAAACCACTTGTGGCGTACTTAATTTGTCTACCAATGCTATTCCGGATAGTAGTGATTCCTGTGAACAAGATATGCATTTTAAAAAGCTAAAAAATAAAAGCCAGATACTGCGTATCGCTTCTTTAAAAAAAAAGGTAAGTATTTATTTATTTTAATAATAACTGTCCGTGTGTAAGAGCCGACTGCAAAAGAAGGAAAACTTGTAGGCCGAAACTCCCTTTCTAATGTCCTATGTCCAGCTGTGGACTATTCTCCCGGACACAAGATCTTTTAGAGAAATAGATTCAGTGGCCATACCTTACAAACATTTTATATTAATAATGTTTTCAAAACGCATCATAGCTAAATATTATTATTATATACATACACTAGTAGTCATTCCTTCCGGCACAGAGTCCCGCCACGCTTGCAAAAATTCTGCTAAATTAAATTTCCCCGCACTTTTAAGTAAAACTCGTGCTAAAAACTTACAAACTTTATCTTGCTTGTATTCATAAAATTGAACACCATTTTCTAATACAGAGTTACTTGTATAAAACTTAAACATTGATTCTAATATTGGTAAAGGTACGAGGTCTTTTAAACTATCCATGGTTACTTCTTTAGATATTCTATCCAAAGGCCATGAATTTTCGTCTATAAGATCCAACATGTAAGATAGCACTCGAAATTCGTAATCAAATTCAAGTAGCCGATAATAGCCATCGATTTCAATCGCCTGTATTTTCTCCAACTCTTCATTTAGCTCTGCTCTAGAAGCTTGCACTTTGTTGCAGATGGAATCATAGTTTAGCAATTTCGATTTGTCTATTTTGTATTCAAGCTCCAATCCTTGATACCTGGTTGGGTCTAATAACTTCTGCAATTTTGACAGTCGCGGTTTACAGGGTTTCAACTCGTAATAAGTGAAAAATGTATTAACAACATCTTTATGTTCAATTTTTCTGGGTGTTTTCGACCCTTCATCAGATTCTGTAGATTTATTGAGACTCGTGTTGAACTTTTCGAAAGATGTATCAGAATCACATTCCATTGAAATATTGTTTACTGTTTCGTCAAGTCCTGATGATGCGGCAAATAATAAGTCAGGGATTAGTAAGAGGCTGTTGGATGTCTCAGCTTCTTTTACATCATAAGTTTTATTACCAGTGCATAGTACTACGTTTTCATCCGGATCACCTATGAAGTAAATAATAATGATTATACCTTATTCATTAAACTCGTTTTGTTTTGTAATCCCATCCAAAACGTACAATAAAAACTACGTAAACAAATTAACAATTGTAGAACGCCTACGAAATTTCTGAGTTTCTAGTTGAGGAATACCAGTATTTCTATTAAACCGACTTAAAAAATGAGGAATACACTATCATGATTTGAAAATTTCTTGAAAAAAAACTTGAAGAATGAAGATTATTACAATTCATTGTATGATAATGCAAGAAAATTGAAAAGGGTGATATTATAAGATAACTATTGTTAAAACGTCCTTTATAGTTTTACTTGTAATTAATAATAATATTTCAGACATCTGACACACAACGCCATCTAGTTTTAAACTAAGTAAAACTAAATTGAAAACTTAATTGAGTTGAAAACTAAATTGACTGATAGAGACTTATATACTTTTGTGAGTATATACATATTATAGAAAACACCTATACTCCGAAACAAATATTTGCAGATCATACAAACATATGATCCGACCCGGGAATCGAGCCCGAGACCTCAGCACAGCAGTCGTATACGCCACCAGTGGGCCACCAGTGCACCAGCGAGGCAGCCAATTAACTAAATTACTATTAGCAGTTTTTTCGTTGCTTTTCACCGAGTGAGTAAGGTAAGAAGAGCAACACCCCCACCCCCCCTCACCCCCTCCCCAAGGATTTAAAGGGGCAACGCACTTGTGACTTTTGAGTTGCAGTGGTCCATGGGCGGCGGTAGTCACTTACCAGGTGACTCGACTGCTCGTTCGCCCCTCAAACTAAAAAACCTCTTAATACATTTTGGAATGCAATATTAACCTCTTTGTTAATGTAGTATAGAATCAAAATTTGGATATCTATACATGTAGTTAGGCTCACAATACAACAATTTAGCATCTTGGAACTGATCAGACGTAGGCCAGTGAATAATAATAATAATAAACCTTCATTCTAAACATCTCAAATTTTGGCTTATGTGATTCATTTTGACGAGTGACCATCAAATGGCCTTGATAACTATGATGAGGTCAAGTGGAAAGTGGAACTCTTTTTTATATTTTAATAATAGGTAGCGATCCGGCTTCGCACGGGTGCAATGTAGATACTACTACTACTAATGTGGCGTCAGTGTCGAGTAATTAATTTTACTATTATTATGATAAGACTATACTACAGGAAATCTATGCAATATTTATAGGCCCGCTCCGCTCCTGATGGCGGCTGCCATCCGGGACGGAAGTACAGCACGACGGCGACGAAGCGACGACGACGGCCGTGTTTGCATCCGCATTTAAAATCTCTAATACCTCCTAAGATAATTACTGTAAAACTGTTTTGTAATTGCACAGCGTATTAAACGTATTTATTTTCATAAGGCATAAAACTGTATTGTTCAAAATAGCTTCGTAAATTACCCATTAGTTTTTGTAATATGCAAAAAAAAAAACGAAAAGTCTTTAGGAAATAGACAACGCCGATTTTTTTGATAAACTATTCCGTAGTATAGATAGTTCAACTCAGTTGTGCGCGCGGCCCTATGTGTGCTCTTGTAAATATACAACTTTCATTCGTGTGGCAGTGACGCGGCAGTCGTCGTCCGAGCAAGACGTGTTCATATCGCTTTTTTTTAAGGGTACAGTCGTTTACGAAAATGTCTAGTTCTTCACGGAGAAAATGTTTAAGGAGTCAGGTAAATATTTTTTAAATTTAGATGTAATTAATATTTATTATGGTTCTATATACGAAAAAATATATCCTTGTTGACGTTTACGTATTATTGTTTTAGACTCGAGAAACCATTGCTAAGGTATACAAATTTCTGAAAATAAATGCGAGAGATGTATTGGAACTAGTAAGTGATCCAGTTTGCAGTGCAAGTCCAATTTTAATATCGAAATTAAGTGAACATTTAAATAGCGTACGGAAAAGAACAGCAATGGCAGTGGGTATCAGAGAGAACAATTACTAATATATTGGCTGAAGGAAAAGAATCTGACTCTAAATTTAAATCTCCGCATAAAGACCGTAAAAAACGTTTAAAAAAGTTAGAATTAGACAACTTTAACGTTGATGTTATACGTTCCACTATTCAAAATTACCATTTAGAACATCGCGAGTTAGCTACCTTGCTAAAGTTGAAAAGAATATTTCAAGATAAACTTAACTATGATGGAAGTATTTCGACTCTGTTGTAGAGCGGCATGACATCCAAAAACTACGATTTTCCTACCTAAAAAATTTACTCAGATACCGTCAAGAAAATCGGTGTATCGTATATACAGATGAGAGCTACATCTTAACTAATCATGTGCAAAACAAAGGATGGGGTAATAAAGATGGACCACCTTTAAAGAGAAACCTGTCGAAAGGACAAAGAATTATCATTGTGCATGCTGGTTCAGAACAAGCTTTCGTACCTAACGCACTATTGACATACAAAGCAAATAGTGTTTCTGGTGATTACCACTCTAACATGAACGCAGAAAACTATGAAAAGTGGCTAAAAGAACGTCTAGTACCGAATCTTCCACCTTACTCTGTGGTTGTGCTTGATAATGCCTCATACCATAACGTTCAAAATGACAGAGCCCCAAATTCTAATTCCAAAAAAATAGAAATGCAGAGATGGCTGACAGAAAAAAATATAGCTTTTAATCAAGATATGAAAAAAATTGAACTGTATGATTTGATTAAAAAAAATAAAGAAAAATATATCTGTTACAAGATTGACGACATACTTCAGCCACATGGCATAAAAATTCTTGGACTGCCACCATATCATCCTGAACTAAACCCCATAGAAAATGTGTTGGGAATTTTAAGGAATTATATTGCTTCGCATAATGTCGACCAAAATGTGACGGGAATAATGAAACTCATAAATGAACGTTTAAGTCAAATCGATGAAGGGATGTGGGGTAATACTTGTCGACATGTACAAAAGAAAGAAGAAGAATACTATAGACATTTTGACATGGAGTCAGAATTCATAATTAACCTTGGTGAGAGCAGCGAATCCGAAAATTCATCATTTGATTTTTCAAGTAGCGATTCAGAATAATGTTCAATAAATAAAAATCACATTACGAAATAACTCTTTTTTTTAAAAACCCGTATATAACCCGTAAATAAAAAAAAATATTTGTATTTGTACGACTGTACCTCTTGTCACGCACACAAAGTCACTGTATATATGTACAAGGTTTACCCACACATAGGGCCGCGCGCACATCTGAGTTGAACTATCTATACATTATTTTGATCTACCTCATAAGGTTTAGTCATCGTTTTCAAGTAAGCGCACAAAACATGTTTATTACAACAAATCTTTGCAATTCTACGAATTTCTCTACTATAATATATGCATGTATTATCCATATAAACCTGCCTCTTTTATCACTCTCTCTAATGGTGAAACTCGCATTAAAATCCGTTGCTTAGTTTCAAAGATCTAAGCGCACAATAGGAACTTTGGACAGTTTATGAAGATTTTATCATTAAACAGTACCTTTAAATATAAGCTCTTTTCCCGATTCTATTTCTTTCAACAGATTATCATCTAGCAACAAGAGTTTTAGGTTGTCATTTCGCTTCTCTGGTTCGGAAAATCTCAATACTTGTGTAATTTCGGTTAGCTCCGGCTCATGTAACTTAGCAATTTTTATTATTTTTCTTACTTCATCCGGTGTTTTCATTTCTCTGGAAAAAAAATACATTATAATTTTATTATGTAAATAAATAATTAATAATGGTGAATCAAATTGTCTTTCTTAAATATTTTACAGGAAGAGACTTTTAATTTTGGTGGCAAGAAAATTTCTGTAACTAAATTATGAAAAAAAACTTAGATTATTGAACAGCATTTATAACAACGCATATAATTGCTCCTTCAACACTGTCTCTAGCGTATGAAACACATTTTAAAACATAAACTGGAGCCTGGAAGAGGACAAATATTAAAGTAGTTACAGAAAGATTTTATCTTTTTTTTATTTATTTATGCAGTGGGAAGGTTGAGAAAAAGAGTAGTGGAGTAGACTGAAGTGTAGTGGAGTGCAGTGGAGTGGATTGTATTGGATAAGATTGGTTTACATTAGGTTGCCCAAGGTATTCTCTTCCAGTCAACCTTTGGTTTGTGTAGAGATCATATGTTAGGATCGTAAATAGTAAATAACGAACAGCGCTAACAATTTTAGCAGTTTTTTATTCAAGAAATCTTATTTAAAAAGTAATACCTAAATTGGTCCAGTTGAATCGTTGGTAGTTAATTTCAATGAATATATACCCTGGCAACATCATCATTTATTTCTATGGTCTATGCTTACTTCTTTTTGACATTGGCATTTCGATAAAAATTCGATTTCTGTAAATTCGCTGCGTGATTTTCAAATCACGTTTATGATTTAGTTTAGTGAAAATAGTGTTAATAAAATAGCAACAATGTCTCTGTTTGGTGAAATACTGTCCATAAATAAAAATGAGGAGAAATCTAACCAGTCCTCAGCTGGTCTTTCTCCTTATTTGAACTTCGATCCTCACTACATACCGAAAATGCAGCCAGAATTCTTGTACCCTGACGACAGTCACATGGCCTCAACCGCCAGAAGATCTAACGTTGCTTTGCCCATTATCGGAATGTCCTTCATGACCGGATCAGGTAACGAAATAGAAAAATTGGTGATTTAACCTCAAATTTTTTAAATGATCTTTACATAATACTACACAAGGGTAAAATGTGTATTAATACTATAGCCAGCTATAAGCTAGAACGACCATTTCATCATACAATGAATGATACAATATTTTTAGTATTTGTGTAATAAACAAAAAAGCCTCCTGTCAATATTTTTATGATTTACATCCGAATAAAGGTACTAAGCACACAAATAAAAACAATTCTGATTCTGTGTGAGAATCACCAATGTTGCTGTGTTTTATATTCTATTATGTATAAAAAATCATCCTTAAAAAAAAAGGAAAAAAGTTCTTATAAGAAAACCATTAAATAATGTTATTTTTATGAGTACATGTTAACTAAATTCCACATTACCACATAGCACTAAATTGTAAAAATTTCATGAAATGATGAACTTTCTGACTCAGTCTCACCTAGCTAAAATATTTGATGTTCCCATTCATACATTCCTAAATCGCACAACACCATCTAGTCCCAAATTAAGCAAAGCTCGTACTAGGGGCTTGTACTAAACAACTGACATAAATACATATATATTTGTTTTGTAAACCAAGACCATATCAACCATTACATGCACACAATTGTTTAACTTGAGTGCGAACCTGTGCCTTTTGGCATAGCAGTCCATTATACAAACCAATCTGCTATCCATAAATTAGGTATTGACAAGTATTAAATAGTACCAATACTAGGGCATAGTAGCAGCCTCCTTTAATGAATATGCATTCAGCACTACCATAATTAGCTATTTAATCATTATCATAAAAATTTCAAATGATCTACTACTTTCAATATATTAAAAGATTTAGTTTTAATTATGTAATTATAACATAAAATAGAACTTTCTTTTGACTGACAATGTCATGTTTCCTGTATATTTTGGACCCAAAATTAATATGTCCTTGTTTTATAACTGTTTTTTATGCTTTATAATTTTGAAACTTGAGTAAATATTAAATTGGTTTATTTTCCAGGCTTAGGAGGTATGACAGGCTTATACAAAGGATTAAGAGCAACCACATTAGCAGGTCAAACAGGCAAAGTTCGAAGAACACAAATAATCAATTATGTCATGAAACAAGGTCAGTATTTCAGTCAACAACAGCTTATAAATTATAATATTAAGAATACTGTAATCTAATGAAACAGACTTCAGAAAGATATTGCACACAAAAAAATATTGTACACTAGAAATATAAATGAAGGAACAGTAAGATATGCAATTATAACATTAAATCACTCAAGTTAAGACTTGACACTAAAAGAATTAATAACATATTTTTTTTACATGAACAAACAAATTAGCCATATATGGATAAATTAGCCATGTATGGTTATAAGCATGCAACATATTATATCCATTTCCAATATCCATCATGAAGTTTTTTTTTAAACTAGAAGTTTCACATCTTTTACAGAAACGCTAATTTGTCTCCCCTAATAAATAATATTTTTATTTGGCATAAAACCAAAAGGACTATTCTTATTATTCTTGTAAATATTACAAAATTAATAGGTAATATTATTATGTTCCAGGCACAAACACAGGTTGTACTCTCGGTATAATCGCATCTTTCTACTCCTGTATTGCTCTCGGCGTCACGTGGCTCCGCGATAAGGAAGACACGGGCAATACCTTCATAGCAGCAGCAACAACTGGTGTTATTTATAAGAGCACTGCTGGCCTCCGCTCAATGGCCCTCGGCGGTGCCGTCGGCCTTACTCTCGCTGGAGTGTACACACTCATCACAGACAATGATAACATATGGAGCAAAGCTAAATATAATAGATTGTGATCTTCCCGCCTATATTTGTATATAATAGACTGTTATGTTTAGATTTTGTTAAGGACGACGCCAAAGGATCTGTCATGTATGGCTGGACTTATTTGCCCATGTCCGCTGTACTGGTTAGATTTAATATAGTGCATTATGTTATCCATAAACTTGTTATAATATTATCTTGACTAGTCTAAATCATTACTGTGCTTTTCTTTCATCATTAATGAGAAGAATACCTCATTGCATATAACATCTACTTAATAAATGTTAGACATTGTAATTGACTTTACAATCGACATTGCTAATTTTATTATACCATAAGGTATCATATGTAAATCTATCTTTCAAAAATTGTTTAATTGACATAATACAATAAAACATTGTCAAGATGTTTCCACATCAAATAGGACCATATCAGCTAATGTGTTGAAGTTACTAGACCGTGAATATATCAATGTACCCAATCAATATCAATTAAACTAACTGAGGAAATCTGGAGACCAAGGTTATGATATTAATATACTGAACCGAATTAACTTCTAATATTTATAGGAGTTCTGTACTATTTTCAGATCAACAATCGATCAATGACCAATCAAGTAGTTTATTACACTCAGCAGTCAATACAAACAAAAAAGGGGGCACTTTGTATAGCGTCAATTAAATGATTTTATATTGATTATAAAATTTATAATGCAAATCATTGGATTATATTAGCTAATGTAGCTAGGAGAAATACTTTTCTGTACAATGTAGTACACTATTAATTTTATAACTGTAAACACGTTGATAATTTATACAAACAATATCTATTCTTATTTAATTTTTGTTGACGCGAGTATATATGCTACAAGATATTTATATATTACTAGTTGTTTGTATAATATTGATTGTCGTATAAAACATTTCGACAGTTCAAAATTGTAAGTCTCTCACAGTTTTTCATATATTACTGTCCTAGTTATACTCTAGTTCAAATTTCTACACAGTTTATGGATAGCAGTTGCCTGCATACAACATATTCTCGCCTTGTCGTATCAGGACTGCACACAGCGTTAATAAAACAAGTTATTTAAAAAATATGTTTATTTTATTTACTATATATTTTGTTACATACACAGTGCATTTTGTACATTATTTTCAAGTGGCGATTACGATTGGAGATGTTGGAACCGGTTGGTTTGTGAAATTTATAAATTATGAGATAACATTAACCATCGTTGTTAATCAAGTCGAGCTATAAGGAGTATGCAATTGAAATAGTTGTGTACCCATGGTAGTTAAGTTACCCTTTATAAAGTTACTGATTTACATTCCTATTACGAGAGGGTTGAACTTATGAAAGTATAACCATGCTTATTATGTACTTATTTTTTGTGACGTTCATATGATGTCAGAATGTATTCTACTCGTATGTTAAAGGAAAATTAACTTCGAGATGGAAATTTTGGCCTCGAGACCGAAAATTCGATAACGGCAAACCTCGAGACCTGCCCTCAAGCCCAGAGCCTTCAAAAAGGAGTCGATGCTTAACAAGCTACCAAAACGCCTATTGTATAACATTGAATCTTACGTTATTGGGTTCCTTACGAAAGTTTCATACAAAATACCAGACCGTACAAATGTTAATAAAAAAAATTCATAGCGCGCTTCTACCCTACATATATATCAGGCATGTGATTAGATTTTTTTTTCTTCCTGGCGTGCTATAATAGCCCTTGAAAGCAGATCTCGAGATTTAAAAGACAGCTCGAGTCGTGACTATAGAAATAATAAGGGTAATAAAAAAAGTATAAGCCTCGCGGCTAAGGCTCAAACCGTGGATATAAGACTAGGCTAAGTCTAAGACTAGTGAGGCTCGAGTTTAAGACTCAGAAGGCTCGAGCCTTTTAACAACACGAATGAAAATTTAGATAATTTGTCAATTGAATAATGTTTATGTGTTCTATTTACTATGTGGTTTATTCCAGTACAGTTATTTACATAATTTCTTGTGCGAGACATAACTATCACACTGATAACATTTATTATGATATTGATAAATAGATTGTGCAACCATACCTCTTGATAACAGACAAACTAAACTTAATAAAAGACTTCCATTTAGTTTAGTTAGGTATTGGAAAGATTTCGATTATCAGATTTTCGTATAATTGGGAATGCATAATTTTATATTTTAAGACATATGACAAGTTAGTTAGTCTTATTTCTGATACAGATAGATAAGCATTTGTCTTAAAATAGCGTTCTAAAATGTTGAGTAAATACGCTATAATACAACACTGGGATATAACAGTATGCTAAGTTGCTACATAGGTTGTTAGTTCTCTTGGAGAAGAACATCCTTTGTTAATTTGTCCCGAATAAAGAATTTTAGTTACTCTGAATGGCATAACCCACATTTATACCCATATGAAATGGGACCACATGTGGCCTAATTCACGTGTGTTCGTTATACAGCTGTATAAATAAAAAATAACAGGTATAATGCCGAAACGTGCAATTATTAAGATCTTACACATTTGGCATCCAACTATTTACACAATTTCTTGGGCAAAAATACATATTCAGCTCACAATAGGTCCAGTTTTATACTCAAAAATACTTAAAAAGGTCAAAAGTTGATAATTTGACAAGCTAACATAATTCACGTGGTTGGAATAGTTTCTCAATTATTTGGAAAACTTTTTTCCAACCACGTGACTTGATTTACTTGAAGACGTGAATCAAACACAATCAAGGCCTATTTCAGTAATAAATTACCACACGACGCTAACCCAAAAACTTAACTGGATAATAATAATTTACTTCCTAACAATTTACTTACTCTTACTTATTTAATTACTCCAATGATTCGTAAAAGCTTATCACCAAACAGGTATCTGTTAAATGGACCTCTTAGGTTTACAGAAGATCAAAAGACTTTCTTTCTTTAAAACAATATTTTTATTTATATGTTACCGACAATACAACAGTTATTAGCAGTAACGAAGTCATAAGTAGGTAACTTGGATGGACTTTCATGTAAATGTAATATACATACATATTTTTAGACTTGTTCATCAAGCTCAAAGTTGAAACGGAATACTCTTATTGAGCGAAAAAACCTTTTTTCAACGTATACGTTTTTGATTAATGGCTTTGTGGAGCAACCATATTTCGCCATATATCCAGAAGTCAAGTTTTCAAAGGATTTTTTAAAGAGCTGTGATATATTCCCACGATGCATAATGGTTTAATTGCATGACAACCATACCTACTAGATTTTCGCTTGTGGTCTTTCTGTGATGTGAGGTTTATGTACACTAATGGACTCAAGTTGCAGTAATTATTATAGAATACATTTAATTAATATATACAATTCCTTTATTAATAGTAGGTACATGTATAACATTAAAATTCAGAAACATTTAACGAAACATAAAACGGGTAACATCTTGAAGCATCGAATCTAAATCGTCATTTATGACGATCAAGAATCGATCGAAGTGGCAGAATTGACTTAAAATTGGAAACGGTATATTTGCCTTGCCTCGTTTAAGTAACGTATCAATAATAAATATGTATGAATGATGATGATGATTTAATATTGCCAAATAAGTGGCAAAAAATCAGTTCGATCCTCTTGACTACAAGCCTTGAATGGCTTGAATTCGTCACACGAGTGTGCAAATGTACCGAGTATCGCATTACTTAAAGACGTCTTATGCCTCTCTCTGCTAAATGATATGATAACGTAGGCCGTCATGATATCAATTTACTCCCGTTTTACACCAAATGTGAAGTTTCATTTGAGACGTCAATTATTTAGCGTACTTCTGAACCGATTTACATAACTTTTCTAATAGCAATGGGAAAAAGACAAAACTGTCTTTACAATCTATGTTGGCCAGCAATGGGCTTTGGTATATTGAAAGTGAAATTGGGTATATTGATTATCTTTCAGAAGTTGTGTAATGAAACATTTCCAGTAGATTAGTTAATGGTACATAATGTAATTATTACAATATTTTTTTTGTTATTATACATAGGTAATATAATAACAATAAAAGAAGTCAAACTTCAGTAAAGTACAAAACAAAAAACTAAAACGACATTTTTGTCTTTACATTTTAGACAAGCGATAAGTGCGGGAAGGTAATCTAATGTTTGGCTGAAACCTGAGATATTAACGTTAAGAAAAATACGAAACATTTTGACAATAAAAATTGAGATAAGTATACTTTCTACTAGCAACTAGTGGTAATAGTTACTTACATAAGTATGGGACAATTCTTTGCACGAATAAGTAAAGGTGCTTAAGTACGTGAGACAGGGATAAAATAGGTACTTCACAGATAGGTAATTAAAAAAAATACATCCCACGTTGAAGGTCGCATTAATTAACTCCACTTTCTAAGCTTAGGTTAATATAGTTTATGACAAAACAGATAAGATTAAATTCGTGACACTGTTTTTTATAAAAACAATGGCTGTCTTTTGTGAAAATATTGACAGGATGGGTGTCAATATTTTATTATTATTACGACATTACGACAATAGACAGATACACATCGAGATTCTAGATACATTCTACTAAAAATTTACGAAAATATATTTCACCGCGTAGGTATAGTAAACACTAACACATACCTATACTAAAAACATTATGGAGACAACATTACCTAATCTTAAGTAGTTAATCTACCATTAGATAACAAAATACCTTCCTTCTGTATTTATTTAACAAAACAAAGTGTAGCAATTTACTAACAATTATTTATTTTGATTGATTGCCGGATTGAAGTTAATGCTTTAACTTTGCGTATAATACATCCTTATATCGCTCCTCGGCTTTAAGGCTAGTAGCCGAGGAGCGATATAAGTAGCGGGCAATTGAAGAGACCTGTGTCCAGCAGTGGACTGCGATAATCTGAGGATGATGATGATATCATACTTAGTATACCTAGTTCGGGGAAAAGGCTCGCAGGATGATGACTGCTTCGAAGCCATGTTCGGTGAGAATAAAAATATAAGTAAGTATTATCTTATTTTCATTTGAAAAATATTATTTAAGTGGGTAGAAATTAATGTTAAACCAAAACCACACTTCATTTTGTTTTACATTACTGTTTACAAAAAATAATATCCCTAAGATCTCGTAATGTTATACGGTTTGAAAGTACTTCATTAAATTACGTCAAACGCATATTTTAGAAAGAATATTATTTTAACCGAGAGTTTTCGTTAGGTTCCCAAATGAAGTTAATGCTTTATAACTACATACCTACATTATTTACAAACTTATTATTATAATCGACATAGTTTCATAATATCATGTTGTTATTTATAACCGATTACATTCATCTCTAATACGACAATAACCCATCAAAGCATTCTAGGTGCGTTTTCAAAAACATATTTATTATGCGGGTTTATGGCCGTAAAATTGTACATGGAATATTTTACTCACGGTATAAATACCTACAACTGCCGCGTGAGTCTGAATAGCAGGCTAGGTAGCTAAAATTAGCAGCAAAATTATTAAAAATGCTAAAATATGGTCGTTGCATACAAGATTTAGATGGCGAAGATAACAATATTATGATTTGTTTATTAAATGTATGTTGAGTACTGAACGAAATTAAGTTCAATCTTGTGTTTAATGCTTTAATTCTTTAAAATAAATTAATACATTTAATTGCTATTACAGTTAGATCCCAAATACATTAGATCTGCTTAATATTGGCAAAGTGAATATTTTTACAATTGTTAAGAAATAATTTAGCCATGAACGCTTATATGAATACTTAGTGGCAAAAAAACTAAAAACGGCTTGACAAGTCAATGCTCACAAAGTAACAAAAAGCTCAGCTGGTAATAAAAGTTGATTTTATGGATATGCTATAAAAACATATCTAAAACAAATATTTACTTTCAATAGAGGGCCACTATCTAACAACCAAACACTTATATTTCATAAATGTGTGTGTGGGTGTGTATATCTAGCCGTTCTCCTTTAAAGTGCATTTATGCTCACTTCTTAAGGTTGTAGCATGATGATATAGTAGAGGCTATATCTAACTATCTATCTATCTATCTAACTTCCCCAAATCTGACTGATAGTTCCAAAAGAAACAATATACTCAGTTTTGTTGTGCCTTGCAACAGGCCCTCTGACTTTGAGATACTAAACCATTTTTAAACACAAAGATCTAAAATACCGTAAAAATCCGAAGTAAATCCAGATCAGTCATTCTTAATTCAGGACATAATTTAGTCACTAATATTTAAATATTCTATTAAACTATACTTATTTAATTAATATCAGTATGCGAATGGAAGCATTGCTGTCAAAACAAATTATTCACACTTGTTTATTTATAACTAAGTATAGGGTATAGGACTTTGATAATGATTTAATGAATAATATTTTATGGTCAAAAACTTGAACATCTGAACAAAATTAAGTGGAAAATATTTACATCATAATAACTCATGTTTATCCTTAAAAGGTAATTTTGATACCACATGATATAACATAGTTAAATACAATTGCAGTAAGTTACTTGCAATGGTTTTCAAAATTAAGTCTTTATAACTTTTGTGTAAATACTATTGCACTATAACTAAAGTAAATCAAATTCACATACAAACAATAGGATGACCATATCTTAGCTTCCTGATTCGAATCTTGCAGTCATCGCTGCATCCTCTCAAGCTTGAGGCGCAGCAGTGCTTCTGTCACGTACCTACATTCAAAATAGACTTCATATCCTCTGGTAAAATACAGTTCAGATCATCTAAACGTCGCGCCAATAACGTCCTTGTATTATCAGGCACTGGAGGGTTGCTCTTCAAAACTTCTCTTAGTTTTAAAACCATATCCACAATTTCCACCTCCTTTTTACCTACAGACCACTTCTTCAAATCACTTCCGGCTAAAGCTTCAAGTTGTAATGCGTGGAGCTTATTGGTCAAGTTTCTATGTCTCTCATGGAACCATGCACTAAAATTAGGCGTCTTAAAGAATGCTCGATATAATCCATTCCAGTCGCCTTTAATCCCTGAGGTCAGTTGAGGTCCAGATTGTAGCAAAGTGGCAAAGAAGTCCTCAGGATTAAACGGGTTTGGGACTGGAGGTGATCTGTATGGTGAGATATTCTTTTGTAGAGGCATTAAAGAAGCCATATACCTCTCTAAAGGAATCATAAAACTTTGTGTCAATTCAAGTAAGTGACGCTTAACCATTGCAGTTTGAACTTCAGATGGCCTATCAGTTCTAATACCATTATGTAATTTTTTTATAATTGATTTGTCTTTTTCCAAGAATGTCTTGTATTGAGTGTACACTCCAGGTGCGGTATCTAAAAGCTTAATATTACCAACTTTCCTTAGTTTTGATTTTATAGAACTGGCATCACCCAATTTAATAGTATGTGGCCAGTGTTGCAATGTTTTAGTAAAGAATGGATTGGTCACACCCAGTATCACACAAGGTGGCTTATATTGTTTCCGTGTGAACTCTTTGAATTCACTGTCATGTATTGTGAAATAGGGTCGATATTCAGCAGAATAAGGCAGAGGTTGTATCAAATAGGTCAGTGCCTGTACTAAGGCTGAGCATTCTGTTGGCGAGCTAGCCATTACAACAACAGGCTCTGCTGTGAGAACAAGTTCCCATAACAGATGTAAATGTGAAATTACACTAGATAAGACATCAAATACATTAACATCTTGTATAGAAGCTAAAATGTGAGGAACATTAGGAGAATGCACTTGTTTTGCTATGTCTGACCGAGTAATCTTTCCAGTTTGTTGATTAGGAATGTATGATTGAAAAACTGCACCAAGTACAGGTAATAAAACATTCTGACCAGCATCTAGTACAGGCCATCTGTTAATATCATGGCAGGCGGCTTCTAAACTCCTTTCTCCTTCCTCAAAGTGTTTAGGAGCTATCAACTGAATAACTTTATAGAATAGGTTGATAAAAGGTAATCTTGTAAGTAGAATTATGCTTTTCTGGAAGTAGCCTCGTGGTAGTGATGGGTCCTTGACCTGTCGGAAGTACACGAAGCCCCAGTAGTGCGTTGAATCGGCACGCAGTGTCGGTACACTGTCCTCGTTGTACAAGAGTTGTTGCCGCGTGAGTCCAGTCCTCGAGCGTAGCTTTACATGGAATTGAGTGTCCCCCATACATCCAGAATTAGAATCTGGGAATGCTAAATAACAAATATTACACTTTTCTTGATCAGACAGTTTCACGCCAGGAGGATATACACTTTCCATAGCCTGCCCCAACTCTAAATCAAATGTCACCACACAAATACAATGCAGCCAGTCTGAAAACCTGTTCCACTTCGTTTGGAACTCGAGTTCTGCCGCGGGCACGTCTCCGTCCTCGTAATTTTGCAACCCACAAGCCATGGTGTAGCGTAATTATAGAAAACACATCACGATTCATGAAAACTATATATTTTGTTGATTGACACAGATTTTTCACAAAGTTGTCATTGTTTATTAAGATATAATGAGTAACACATTTTTTTTAATCATTAAAATGACAAAAACAACGGAGCGTAGCGAAGTGGCTCTTAACAGCTGTTTGGCACAATATGGCCGCTGGCGCCAAAACAAAAAGTCTCATGACAATTAGACAAAAGTAACAATAAATCAGCCGTAAAACCTTATTAACTTCAATACACTTACCCTGTATCCATGGTTTTCTGTTATTAAAATAATACTTCGTTTTGTATACACTTTTTCTAAAAATTGTATAAAATATTACTTTCCTACTTTTTTTTTTTTTTTTTTTTTTTTTTGGGATTTATTGACCTGGTAACAAAGACCTTTAAGTCAAGTCTTATTTTATTTGAACAAATATTGCACTTTCACTTTAGTTCATTTTAAATTGTTTTAATAGTGTTTTTAATATATTTATAAATTGGTTTGTAAGTGTTTTTGTCTTTTAGTAACTGTTCTAGTGGCGGCGGGCGGGATGAAGGATTACACTTAATTTTCACATCACTGAGTTCACTAGCCAACACTAATCTGTCAAGCAAGAATTTTTGACAGTCAAAAATCAGATGTTCTATGGTTCCTTCTTGGGATTCGCAATATGGGCATGTATTGTCTGTAATAATGCCAAGTCTAAAAAGGTGTGACGGTGCAGTATTATGGCCAAAGCGCAATCTATTTATCGTAGTTATAAAGTCTCGGCTGGCTTCTTTCACTCTATTGTACCAGGGTGTAACAGGCAATCTTTCTTGAATATTTCCATACCACTTTCCTTTTATGTCTTGGTCTTTCTTCCACATTTCTAGCCATAACTTATATACATTTTCATTGATAATTTGCAGAAAATCAGTCATAGGAATTTCCATTGCATTTCTAACATCAACAGCATTATTACCTTCATATGCGGTTTTATCAACTATTTCATTGCCCAAGATACCTCGGTGAGAAGGTACCCATAGAAAAGAAATTTTTATGTGCTTAAGATAATATTGATAAATTATTTCTTTGATAAAATACAGAATATAATTTGACTTAAATGAGAGTGTAAGGTTAATTAAGGCTTTTATCAAACTCATTGAATCAGACACAATCAAAAAGTATTTATAATTGTTGATTTGGCGAATATGTAATAAAGCCTGATAAACCGCATATGCCTCTGCTGTAAATATAGTACATGTATTGTGCAGAACAAAGCTTTGAGAGAATTTTGTATGTGGATCATAAATAGCGGAACGTACATAATCATTCCCCTTACTGCCATCAGTGTAAATAATATAATGATTATTATTATCTGCCAAAAACTGTAGCATATCTGAGTTATTATTAATAAGATTTTGTAATACTTTGATGGGATGTGAAATACACTGATAAGAGAAAGAATAACATGGCCATGGGCACTGTTTTCTAATATGAGTAAAAGTATTCTTTATTTCTAGCAATATTTTGGACAATGTTGGAGATTTGGCATTCAAAAGATTGTCTCCTGTTGTTAGAGGCCCAGGAGTTCCACTTACAGAAGGTACAATTTTGTTAATAATTCCTCTGTGATTTGCAGCAATTAATTTAAGACAAAATCTCTCTGCAAGTAGAATGCGTCTCAGTATTAAGGGCATCAATTTATTCTCCACTTCCATGGCCCTTATGGGAGTAGAGCACATAGCACCAGAAATAATTCTCAAAGCCCTGTTCTGCAATTGATCCAGTTTATTTACATGGGTACTGTTCATATACACTAGTGAACTATAATCAAAATGACTTCTAACTATACTTTTATATACATTTGACAATATTTTAGGGTCTGCTCCCCATGAAACACCTGCAAGACATTTAATTATGTTTAAACCTTTTAAAGCATTATTTGATATATATTTAATATGTTCCTGAAAAGTTAATTTCCTATCTATTACTATGCCTAAAAATTTCTTTGAATTTACTGGGTTTATAAATTCGCCATTATAAACTACTTTTGAATTAGAATTCTCATTGCCAAATATCATGATACTGCTTTTAGAGGCATTAATTTTTATATGTAATACATCATTATAATATTGAAATAGTTGAGACAAGGCTCTGTTAATATTGTTAATTGCAACTTCTATATTATAATTACTACTGTACAAAACAATATCATCAGCAAACTGCAAAATATCTACATTACTATTCACATATTTACAGATTTCACTTGTATAAATATTGTATAGCAAAGGAGATAGTGTAGCACCCTGCATTGTACCCCTAGATGCACATTTTGGACCATATAGTGTATTGTTATATCTTACATAGAGTGTTCTATTATTCAAAAAATTATATATCCATTTACATACTTGGCCAGGTATACCAAGCCTAAACATAACTTGTACTAGTATAGCAGGATCTAAACTGTCAAATGCACCTTGAACATCTAGGAATACACAAACAGTGTGTAACTTTTTTTCCTTTGCATGTTTCAGGTCCGAAATTAAAGAAATGAAACTGTCTGCACAGCTTCGTCCTCGACGAAATCCATATTGTATATGCGGAATGATGCCATTAGATTCTATATACCAATCCAAACGATTTTTAATCATGTTTTCAAATATTTTACCTAAACATGAAGAGAGTGATATGGGCCTATAAGAGCTTGCTAGCTCTGTAGGTTTATCTGGTTTGAGTATTGGAATGACACATTGTGTTTTCCATGATTGCGGAATAGATTTACAATGCCAAAGTAAATTAAGGATATTGAGAAACAATTTTTTTGCAGATTCGTCTAAATTTTTAATAATACAATAGGGGAAATCATCTAATCCAGGTGTAGTGTCTTTGCGAGATAACAAACTAATTTTAAACTCGGACCATGTAAAAGGATCTAGCAAAAATTTAGACTTTAGACTATCATTATTTAATTCGAAAATATTACCTAAACTACCAACATCATTTAAATTGCTATTGTCGGATAATTTGTCTAGAAATGGAGAGATAAACTCATGTTTATGCGATTTATTGCCAGCTTTTATACCTTTAAACATTTTAAGGAGGTTCCAAATCTTACTAATAGGAGTAGTTCTATTGAAAGAGTTACACAAGTTATCCCAGCCTATTCTCTTTTGCTCTGATATAGTCCTTTTTTTAAGTGCATCTTTTCTTTTGTAATCTAAATAGTTCTCCATAGTAGGTTCACTTCTATAACGTTTCAATGCATTGTAAGAGGCAATTACACTTTTCTCACAAATGTCATTCCACCAGGGAGCTGGAGGTCTGCTTTTAAAATTTTTTGGTTTAGTGAATTTAGGGATTGTCATATCTTTTAAAGTATTTAATCGAGAACAAAAATCATTGTAGGTTGAGATAGGATCATGCAATTTTAATACTAAATTGTTAAATATTGTTTTAGAAATAACTTCATACTTTGTCCAATCTGCTTTTTTATATATAAACCTATCAACAGGGGGATTAATATGATATTTATCTATACATAGTGATATCTCTGTTATTGTAGGGAAGTGGTAGCTGCCCATGGCATCATCGTGAACCGACCACTCGCATATTGAGGCGAGGTTAGCACTAATAAAGCTAACATCAATTGCAGATGGGTTTCGTCTTGGACTAGTACAAGTTGTAAAACTACCATCATTTAAAATACATAAATCCAAGTCATCAATGATATTAAATAAATCCTGACCTCTACTCTTAGTGGATAGACAACCAAATGCAATGTGGTGAGCATTAAAATCACCACTGACAAAGATGGGTTTTGGCAGATCCTTAATTATATTATGTAGTCTATTGAGATGTATGTGTCCACTAGAAGGAGGACAGTATACACAAAGGATAGTCAAGCTACCATGCACAGTAGATAAGGACAAAGCAACAGTTTGAATGTCTTCATAAAATCTGGTATTTAATACTTTGTACTTTAAGTTTGGCTTAATTAGTATTGCTACACCATTATGAACATTATTGGAATTTTTATTGTAAATATTATATCCAGGTATTCTAAATTTATTGTCTTTAAACCATGTTTCGTTAAGTAAGCAAATGTCTATATTTTGTTTTTCTAAGAATTGAATCAATAAAGGTTTCTTGCTATTAGCACTTTGAATGTTATACTGAGCAATACGTAACTTAGACAGTGTATAACTTGGATCCATTAATTTAGATTTTTAAGTAGAGTTTCCTTAATACTATTTATGGTAGTGGGCGTACTATCTCCCTTATTACCCAGTTCCACCAACGTCTGTACTAGGGCCATAAGTACATCGTTGTTGGCAACTATTTGGGCTTTGATGTCTACCTTTGTAGGGACGTCTTTAGGTTTATTTACATTATGTACAGGATTATTTACAGATACAGGTTTGTTTACAGATAAATGTACAGGTCTATTTACAGATGTATATACAGGCTTATTTACTGTGGAAATTTTCATTTTTGGAGGTGAAAGAGGTGGAAATTGTGTATTATCTTTAATATTGTGTTGTTTCTTTAATGTAGCACTTGCATAAGTTATCTTATTTTTCTTTTCTAATATTTTATTTAACTTAATTGGACATAATCTAGAAATTGCAAGATGAGGCCCACTGCAATTGACACAGCAGATCTCTGTTGGTTTATCACATTCTTTATATAAATGTTCACCTCCACAAATGGAACATCTTTGTTTGCCGTTGCATATTTTAGCCGAGTGGTTAAATTTAAAGCAACGGAAACATTGCTGTAATGGTGGTATATATTCAAAAACTCTGTATGAGAATAAATCATATTGTACATTGTCTGGGAGTATATTCGAAAGAAAAGTAATACTGACTGTTTGTAGTGGTACTCGCTCTTCTCCGACCTTCTTTGTGAATCTTCTTATAGCTACTATTTCATAGATTGATGATAGTTTTGTATATAATTCTTTGTTTGAAATATTTGCTGGTACAAATCTAATT